AAGAGGATTGCGTGGGCAAGAGAGGACTGCGGGCAAGAGAGGATCAGAAGCAAGAGAGGATCACAGGGTAAGAGAACATCATGGAGCAGGAGAGGATCATGGGCAAGAGACGATCACGGAGTAGGAGACGATCACGGAGTAAGAGACGATCAGGGTAAGAGAAGATCATGGAGCAGGAGAGGATCATGGGCAGAGAGGATCAACTGGCGGGTAAGAGGATCAGAAGCAAGAGAGGATCACAGGGCAGTAAGAGAAGATCATGGAGCAGGAGAGGATCATGGGGGCAAGAGAGAGGATCACGGGAGTAGGGAGGATGACTGGCGGAGTAAGAGACGATCATGGAGCAGGAGAGGATCATGGGGCAAGAGAGGATTGCGGGGGCAGGAGACGATCACGGAGTAAGAGACAATCATGGAGCAGGAGAGGATCATGGGGCAAGAGAGGATCAATCATGGGGTAAGAGAGGATCACGGAGTAGGAGACGATCACGGAGTAAGAGACGATCATGGAGCAGGAGAGGATCATGGGGCAAGAGAGGATCATGGGGCAGGAGACGATCACGGAGTAAGAGACAATCATGGAGCAAGAGAGGATCATGGGGCAAGAGAGGATCAATCATGGGGAAAGAAAGGATCACGGGGTAAGAGAGGATTATGGGTTAAGGGTGATATTACACCCTTAACCCATAATCCTCTCTTACCCCGTGTATTATTTCCTATTATTTTTTTCTTATTTCTATTTATTTACTTACTTTTACTCTTTCTCCATTCTCTAATTCTCTTTTCTTATTCTTACTCTTTCTTTCGGTAGGTGAAGGAAGGTAGAGAGGGAGAAGGAGGCCTGTGGTTGAGAGATGTGGGGGGTTTGCCTGTAGTCACTTCCCCCCACCAGAGGGCCGGGCTGGTGACCGATAGGAGGGAAGAATAAAGGGGAAAGCAGAGAATGATAACTGTAGGAATAAGTATATCATGCGCTCATATACAGGGGAAATATGTGATAGTTATAATCTTACTCATGGGGGTCACTGTATAACACAAAGACACTTAAGAAGAATATTTTACACAATGCATAAGGGAAAGGAATTGAGAACTATTCTTAACGGTTCATTTATTAACGATGTTATTTAGAATGTACAGTTACTCTTTCAAAACAATACCCTATTTTCCTCGCTAGTTAAATGGGGTCACATGAATCACAATACTTTTCGTGAAACGGATAAAACCTTAAGTGCACTTATATACCTGTATATCTCGCCATGTTGCACCTGCCGACCACACATGTCTACACCCAAACACTTTCAAACATAGGCTCTCCACTTGAAAATTTAGTGCACTTTGTGGTGGGTACGAACTCTAGTCTCCAGCCAATCAGCACAGTTATGCCTATGATGTCACACTCACAGGTCACTGTGATTGGCTCAAGCTTAAGGCACCCTCGGGACACTGTTAACTTGGCAGACAGCAGGCACGGCTTTTTGGCGGGAATATACAGTATATATCTTCTCTAAAGCATGACATAATTTACTTAAAAAATCATGGCACAGTTACAAGAGGATCACAGGGTAAGAGAGGATCAGGGGGCAAAAAAGGATCACGGGGCAAGAGAGGATCACAGGGTAAGAGAGGATCAGGGGGTAAGAGAGGATCACTGAGTAAGAGGTTCACGGGGTAAGAGAGGATCATGGGGTAAGAGGATCACGGGGTAAGAGAGGATCATGGGATTAGAGAGGAATACGGGGTAGAAGAGGATCAGGGATTAAGAGAGGATCAAGTCTGTACAGTAATTCTCTCTAGATGCAAAAATTACACCAATTTTGTTATCCCCCAAGGTGTGTTCAACCTGCCCTAAATTTGGTATGACAAAATCCTAATCGCAGAGAAAAAACCCACACCAGATGCACACAATTAATAACAAAATATATAAACTGACTTTGAGTCGTAATGAGCGTGGGACCCCCACGAAAGGCCAAACACGCAGGAAAGACTATTATTGAAATTCGTATCTCCTCCCAAAGGTTATGACAAACACCCCTGTGTTCATAGGGGTTATGAGACTGTACGCATACAGCGTGTGTGTACGCTAAAGAGATACTCACCGAGAGTTTTAAAAAGCATCTGAATTTTTTTTATCAATTGGGGATATTTTATTTTGTTTTTAGTGGGACAACTTGCTGGAAATTTACTCGTAAGAGATAAATATAAAGTAAGGCGTCGTTTACTATCATAAAGTATCCAGAAATTAACGCCCGGAGTTTTAAAAAACACCATCTTCCGTTGAAGAGGGTTGTCGTGTTTCAACCCGAGTTTAAAAAAAGGGGGTCCTGAAGGACACCGCAGTACAGTATTTGACGGGGTGGTGTGGCGGTAAAATTAACTTAGGGACTGTCAGTTGCTTGAAAATGTCCAGACTGATGCCTGCACTTTGGCGCCTCAGCTATCCAGACAGATTAGAGTGCCTGCAACTGCCTAGCATATACTACAGGCTGGCAAGGGGGACCCAATTGAGGTGTATAAACATGTCAAAGGGCACTACTCAGTCGAGTGTCCATACCTGAAGCTGGCGGACGCCCACCCCACAAGGAGTCACAGTTCAAGGTTGAAGAAGCCGCAAGTTCAGAAAATTATGTGGGCGAACTTATTCGGAGTGAGAGTTGTGAACTCTTGGAACAACCTGCCAGAGAGTGTTGTGACGGCACCGAGTGTGAGGTCCTTCAAGACCAGACTTGACAAGCACTGGAGCAGATTCAGATACATTCAGGAGCCAGTTCATGCCCAGTACTTGCCACTATGCAATGCATAACAGAGACGTGATCGACTGCCCAAGCGGCTAATGAGCCGATTAGTGGGGAAGAGGATAAAAGTAAAAGTAATTAAGAAAGCAGCACTCCCAGTACAAGTTGGTTGTATGCTCCAGGGAATCCCATGTGCACCAAGCCTCTTCACATCATAAATGTGGAGCGGTGATCGTATCTTAAGTGAAGCAGCTGTGCTTGAAAAGATTCCAAACCTTTTCACATCATGGATGCAGAGAGACGATCGCATCTAAATTGATATTTTTTCACGTGAACGGTTCCAAATCTCTTCAAAACTGGATTTGGGAATGTGATTGCATCTTATGTGATACTTAAACACCCGAAAGGTTCTGAATCTCTTCATAACCGAAACGGGATGGTGGTTGTATCTTCGTTGGGGTACCCACACCTGAGACAAACAATTTAGTGCATGTCTTCTGATGCAAGTTAAATGGGGCGTAGACGCCAATCGACAATGATACTTGCAACAATTCCGTGTTTGTTTATTTCATAAATGACATGCCAGAAGATATACACTTCTCCACACAAATGTAAATCACTGTAGGTACGCGAGATCCAAGTATATGCTGATTTGTTTACACGTGGGTTAGGTGGTCAACGCTATCCCAACGATAGACCTTGCGCCATCCATCCCCTTATTGACAGATCTCTGTGCAAGATAATTAAATTCATTTTAATGAAATTCCATTTCATTACGATATTAAGGACTGCTCGAAGCTTTAGATTAAAGTCCGTAGAATAATTCGAAAGGTCAAAGACAGCTAAAGGCTGTTACGAAGTTTAATGGTGGGGTTGTTGTTTTATTGCGTTATATCACGACAAACAGCCAATAGGGGTGTTATAACCTGCCTGTCGCACCACACAGTACTTTCAAATTTATGACTGGAGGAGCACGTTTTCGTCTAATGTGACCAGAGGAAACTTCTGGAGTGTGTAGAACTAGAGAGTATGGACATAAAAACTGGAGGATCATATTTCAAATCTCACTAGCATGACTGGAGGACCATTACTGGAGTACATTTTTTACATATGTTAGGATAATCGTGGTTTACTTTTCCAGAGTAAGACTGGAGGACACTACAGAAATACCATCTCAACATACATACTTGGTGAATCTTGCTGCATGCTTGGCGAGTGCAACTAAATGACAATTCCGGAGAACCATGAGGAACATTCAACAATTGACCAATTTACCTTATACGTTTTCAATACTTTCCATATCACTCTCTGATAGCCCCGTCATATTTTTTCTATGTATATAAATACCATAAACCAATTGTTCTCACTGAAACTCATTGTAATACAAACACTTGTTCCACACAGCTTCTCTCTCTGTTATAAGGCAACAATGCTACTCTCCGTTGGGCTACAATTTCGTTTCATATACTGTACACAGTGTACAGTATTCAAACAGATTTTCTTCTCTATACACCCACACTTGGCATCCATTCTTAACACATCTCTTATCAGTCTCACTATTCAACTATTACTTTTTCCTCGTTAACTCTGACATTATTCAATCCATCGCGTCTAGGCCGAATTAATCATCTTCTCTCAAAATTATCTAATTTCCATTTTAATTTCTCTTTCTTCTGTAATAATATTCTCACTTTGTATTTTTTCATGACTCTCATTCTCGCTCCTCGTTCCACATTCACATCAGTCAAATAAACAACATAAAAATGGAGGAAACTGCTGCAAGCCTATTGGCCCTACGATAGGCATCCCCGTTTACACCCAACTCATATCGCTCATATACTGTATCTGTGCAACCTGAATTTGAAGCTTCCCAACGTGTTCGAATTAATGATTGTGTTCGGTAACTTGTTCCACTCATTCACTGCTCTACTGTATTTCTTAACAAGTGTTTACCAATCCCTCGTCTAAATCTAAATTTGTCCATAACCATTGCTACTTATTCGCTCCTGGTTAGATGGTTTAAGTACCTTTGTTTTATCACCTTTGTTTAACCCTGACTTCCAGTTAAACACCTCGATCATTCGGCTCTCACTCTACAGTACGTCTCTTAAGGGAGTGCAAATTCAAATGCTTTAATTTGTCTATACTCAAGGCTCCTAATGCCCGAGATTAGCCTAGTCATCTTCCTACACTTCATTCTTCTACCCACCAACATGTAGTTTAACAATATCTTCTCAAAATCATAAAACAAAATAATTATTGTACTTACCGGAAGACGTCGAATTTCTCCATATATCTGAAAAAAATAGATGTTACAATGTTACAAGACACTCAATATTCATTTTATATATATATATATATATATATATATATATATATATATATATATATATATATATATATATATATATATATATATATATATATATATATATATATATATATATATTTTTTTTTTTTTTTTTTTTGCTTCTCTATTGATCTTTTGCATTGATATTATTTCCTGTATCTGTGTGCGCCAGTTCCAAGTCTGGTCTGCTGTCATCACTCTCTGGCATCAAAGAGTTCATCAAAGTTCAGACTTCTGACTTAGTGGGGCAGGCATCATCCAGCTTCAGGTATGAACACTCAATTGAATATAATTATGTCCTTTGAGGTGTTTTTAAACGTATATTAAGTCCCCCCCCCCTTGCCCGCCTATAGTACTATAAGTATAAGCTTGCCAATTGCAGGAGTTTTAGTCTCTCTTCTCTTGGTACCTTAGGTGCGGTACTGAAGGCACCAGTCTGGTAGCCCTCGTTTGAACGTTTTCAATAGTGTGACAGTCTCTAGCAATCTCATGGGCCAGACGGGATGGTAGTATTCCAAACGGGGAAGCACGTCACTATCTAGGTCTCTGAACGTCCTTTTTATAAGACCCACTAGCTTAGTTGTTTGATTCGGCATCTTCTCACAATGATCCGAAAATTACAGTTCGTTGTCAACAAACACATCCAGATCCTTTTCACATTTGGTGGCCTTTAATGCTTTTCTTCGTCCCATTGGACAAATGATACGACTCCTTACTGTTGGTATGACCTAGGTATATCCTATTCCATTTATTTTTCTTCTTTTATCCTCTTCATCACTGATCGGCTCGTTAGCCGCTTGGGCGATCGGTCACGTCTCTGTTACGCACTGTTGGCATGCACCGGCTCCTGAATGTACCTGAACCCGCTCCAGTGTTGGTCAAGTCTGGTCTTGAAAGAGCTCACACTCGGTGCCGACACAACACTTTCTGGTAAATTGTACCAAGAGTTCACAACTCTCACTACGAAAAAGTTTGCCCTCACAGTTTTCTGGACCTGCGGCTTCTTCAATCTTGAGCTGTGACCCCGTGATGGGCGAGCGTCCGCCAGCTCTAAGTAAAGACACTCGACTGAGTAGTGCCCCTTGAGATGCTTAAACACCTCTATTAGGTCGCCCCTTGCCCGTCTGTAGTATAAGCTAGGCAAGTTCAGGCGCTCCAATCTCTCAGGGTAGTTGAGGTGCCGAAGTGCAGGCACCAGTCTACACTGGTCCCCTAGCATATCTCGGGGGCCAGACGGGGTGACAGTACTCCAGATGGGGAGGCACTTCACTCTTGAAGATCGTTACGAGGGACGGACCGTCTAGATATCTGAACGACCTTCTTATAAGACCCAATAATTTATTTGCCTGATTTACCTTTTTCTCGCAAAAGCCCGAGAACTTCAGCTCATTGTCAACATACACACCTAGGTCCTTCTCAAATTCAGTCTCAAATAGTGCAGTTTCTTCATCCCTTTGGGACATATGATACGCCTCCTTACCGTTGGTACGCCCCAGGTGCATCCTCTTTCACTTCGTGACATTGAATCTCGGCAGCCATTTCTTCGACCATTCTTGGAGTTCACAGATATCCTTCTGCAGCTCTTCACAGTCCACTTGGTTCTTGATTTCCCGAAATAACTTGGCGTCATCGGCAAACATTTGTATGGAGGAGTGTACAACGTCAGGCTTGTCGTTTATGAAACAAACAAACAACAGCCCTAGCCCAATGCACTGCCGTGACATTGAATGTTAACAACCATTCCTTTGACCACTCCTGAAGCTGACAGATCTTTCTGTAGCTCTTCACAGTCCGATTAGTTCTTAATTTCACAGAATAACTAGGCATCGCCCACGAACATTTGTATGGCATGTTATTTATGAAACAATCAAACAACAATGGGCTTAGTACACTGCTCTTTGGTACCCAGCTTGTCACGGGTACACATGAAGATTCTATGCCATTAATCACCACACACTGTTTGGTCACGAAGAAAGTCTCAAATCCACGCTAAGACACTCCCCCGAATTCCGTACCCTTCCTGTTTAATTTTAAGCTTTTCATGGGATACGCTGTCGAAAGCCTTAGCAAAGTCCAGATATACAGTATATTGTCGATATCTAGGTCCAAACATCCATCACCTTAAGTAGTTGCATCAAGCAGGAGCGTCCCGACATAAAATCACGTGGACATTCGTTTACTAGGTTGTTTCGTTGATGTTCCATCATGGCATCACGTATAAATGCTCTCTAGTACTGTACACACATGCTGGTCAAGCTCACCGGACTATAATATGTATGGAGTGACGATCTCCTGTTTTGAACATAGGACTCACATATGCCATTTTCCAGTTGCTGGGGTTCTTTTATTCGTCCATGCATCTGCAGATCAGGTTTTTAAGGGGTTCAGCAAGCTCGTAGCGCATCTCTCTAAGCACTCTGGCCTTTGAGATGCACGCTGTCAGTGCCAGGACTCTAATGAACCTTTAGCTTTGATAATTAATTGTTCCTAATGCACTCTTGTCAGAACAGGGCTGCATGTGTTGAACCGTCTTTCCTGAGATACAGGGAAATTGTTCGCATCCTCTTCTGTGAACACTTAGGAAAATAATTTGTTTAACGCCTCTGCTTTTTCTTGATCTGAGTCTGCGTAACTACAATCTTCAAGTCTCCTATCTGATACGCATGTACGTGTCTTTAATTTCGACTTTGCGTAATGGTAGAAGGCCTTTTGTTTTGACTTGACCTTGCTTTTAATCTACCTCTCAAACTCCTTTCCAGCCCTTTTACACGCAGACTTTGCTTGGTTCCTGGACCTGGCATACATCCCTTTGTCCTCCTCATTATTTGTTGCGATCCATCTCTTGAATTTCTGAGATTTCTTCTTAACTTTGTTAACCGCCGATTGGTTACTGCGTAACCAGTGGATTTGGTCTTGGGTATATGTTTATCAATCAAATAATTTACTTTACTGACTAAAATGTTCAGGGTAGTATCCGGGTTCTTGTTTACTAGCAAGTTAGGCCAGTGAATACCACTCATCTCCTTCATCCAGTCGTAATCACCAATGTAATAATTTAACCTTGGCTGGGCTCTTATCATGAAGCAAGTAACAGTTAAATCTGAAGGAAAATGTCCCATGATGGCTGGTGCCAACGGGGGTTAGATGTTCCAACTTGGCCACTATACCCTTCTCGTTTGTCATGATGAGGTCCAGTGATGGTTTGGGTGGGTTTTTTCCCTCTATAGTGAATCGTATCTTTCACATATTGATATTGATTAGAAAATTGTTTCTCAGTGTTCTATAAAAAAAGAGTAGCGGTATTATTAAGGTCATATGGTGTGGTTTCATTCCTCGTCGCCCTAGTTAAAGTCCCCTATGACAAGGAGGTGGCTGGAGCTGAGCGCCGTTACGTTGTCTATTAAGACTCTTAAGTTATATTATTGTCTCATCTCGCAATAGGCTGGGATACAGACCCACCTGGTAAGCCTCTCGGGCGGAGGATGTCCTGCACTTTTCTAACTGCAAACTGTGTAACAGTTCCATATCAAATGATCTTCAGCATTATTGTCTCAATTGTTCCACTGTCAGGTACCTCCTTCCACAGGGTGAGTCACTGATCACAGTATGTCACCATTTACTTGTACTTGCTAATTTATACTACTGTACTACTACTACTGGTACGCTATCCACACTTTGGTGAGTGCTAAGTGAGGTTCTCTTATCTCATAAGTTATACCCCCAAGTTTGCTGTCATTTGGGAAATATTTTCTTACTATTTACCTAAATCATTATCCTCTTGTTGCTGTCTTACGTTTCATATATATATATATATATATATATATATATATATATATATATATATATATATATATATATATATATATATATATATATATATATATATATATATCAGGCCAAATTCATTCCTGTCCCAAATTTTCACATTATCCGCAAATCTGATTAGGTTGAGTTCCATTATGTTAGAGGTATGGTAGAAAAATAAGGTCAGTTTTGGTTTAGTAAAGTTCCGAGACCGAATATTAGCAAGTTCCTTGTAAGGCATGGGCAACAGACCAACACAATGATAGAAAATATATATACTGTAGTTAGTAAGGTGAGGGCCAACAAGTGTGTGAGGAATATAATGGGGTGCGGTGTAATAACTGACGAGGAGAGGAATCAGCAACCAGAGGAGATTCCCCTCACCAAGCCATATCCTCGCCATACAATTTCCTGGCAGGCACCTCCGTCACCTGGCAACCCCGCCACCTGGCAACTCCCCAGAGGAAAATTCCATCCTGGGCGCCTTCCAACTGGACAACTTTCCATTGGAGTTCCTCCTCCACACGACTTGGCTGCGCTGCTTAACTCTCACCGACAATTCCATACTGACAAGTTTCTTAGCGGGTGAAGCCTCGCGAGGTGAATGTGGAACGAAGGAGATGCTCGGTAAACAAAGTTGTTCACATAATCACAAGAAAATTAGATAACACGAAGTTCTTTTTTCCTAAGTGATATCCTGGATTGGTTTGAGGCGATTTTCTGAAACGACTGGGGATATTTATTAATACAAAAATCAATTAATGAACCATAAGCATATAGTGCAGCAGAATAACAGGAGGGGTCTAGCAAGAATGTGAAGTAATTTCTTCTTTAACGACTGAATTCCCAGTTAGGTTCGATTTGGGGGGGGATTCACCATAGCTACAAGGGAAATTGCCAAGAATTATAGTGACAAATAAATCACAAACAAATGTACAAATGTAGATTTAAACTGTACACGAGGACTTAAAAGTTTTTATGAAGCGAAAGATGTACTGTACTATGCCGTTAGGAATAACTTGACTTCATGGCAACTGAGGAAATGGACGACCGCATGTCATAAATTTTAAATTACAACCAAGGAATGTGGAGGAAGGCGAGCCTCTGTGGCCACTACAACAGGAAAAGAAGAAAACTATTGTGGGAAAGAAGTTTCTTATCATGAAAGCATATAATTCGTATTCGTGGGTGGAAGCAGGAACGAATTTCCCACCAAGCCTCGTGGTGAGTTGGGGGAATGGAGTGGGCGGTGTGACCAGATTTTATCGGCCTCAACTTTCACCAAATTCCTGAGATTTTTCCTTAATATTACGAAAGCTCGACAGTCCTAAACCTATTCAACATTTTTAAAAAGGAGTATGTTTGGTGTTATTATAAAGGTTCAGACCATTTAGCGATGGGGTGCTGACATACAGTATATTTGGGTTACATGTTAAGGAATATTTTACCGTACATCGTGTACAAATTACGTCACATATCAGTAGCTTATAATTCAAAGGTAAAGTGATAAATATCGTGTTATGTAAAGTACAACTTATTACTGTACTATCCACTTGTGGACCGATGGGGCTCGTTACAGTGGTGTGTTTGTGTGTGTGTGCGTGTGCAAAGATGTTTATTGTGTGTCTATCGGTCTAAAAATCAGCGACATGCCATCTGTGAAACCCAAAGTTGACCCTTACACATGTACATAATTCAAGGAGGTTGGAGAGATATGCATCTCAAACGTGTAAAAATCAAGTAAGCTGAGGTATATCTATATATATATATATATATATATATATATATATATATATATATATATATATATATATATATATATATATATATATATATATATATATATATATATATATATATATATATATATTTTTTTTTTTACGTTTATGGGTTAAATCGTGGGTTCAGTTAGCATGAATAGTTTTAGGGCTCACTGACACACACTAAACGTCTTCACACACACACATAAGTAAACACACACGTACATACATATATACACACACACACACACCTTTTAAGGCGCGAGTTTGTGTACTATTTTCATATTTCTAGTCAAATACACTCGGTATGCTTTCGGGCATCTTCAGCTAAGGCAGAGGTTCAACAAATTATTTCTAGCTTATACTACAGACGGACAAGGGGTGACCTAAATGAGGTGTATAAGCATCTCAAGGGGCACTTCTCAGTTGAGTGTCCTTACTTGGAGCTGGCGGACGCTCGCCCCACAAGGGGTCACAGCTCAAGATTGAAGAAGCCGCAAGTCCAGAAAACTGTGAGGACAAACGTTGTGAATTCTTGGAAAAATCTTCCAGAAAGTGTTGTGACGGCACCGAGTGTGAGCTCTTTCAAGACAAGACTTGACCAACACTGGAGCGGGTTCAGGTACATTCAGGAGCCGGTGCATGCCCAGTACTTGCCAATAGTGCGTAACAGAGACGTGACCGATCGCCCAAGCGACTAACGAGCCGATCTTTTCTTGAAGAGGATAAAAGAAAAGGAAAAGGTATCAGAGACGTGACCGATCGCCCAAGCGGCTAACGAGCCGATCAGTGGTGAAGAGGATAAAAGTAAAAAAGTAAAAGTTTACCGAAAAGCTAAACGCAGTTTAAACAAGTGAAATGTTTTATAATTTACATTATGATTTGTATAACTTGAGGTTTCCTGTAGACTATTTTTCCAATTAATTTGCAATATGACAATGTTTAATATCCATAAAATACGAACTCTTACTGACCTTCTTGTCATATATTTGCGATTGTTTTTAATTAAAAAAATCATTAACAAAATACAAAGGGTTAGGTTACCTTACAGAGGATACTTTGAACACTTAGGATATTTATGTAACAATTTGAACGGATTTTGTTTAAAATTTAAAATTTCAGTACCAAAGTGAAAAGCTTTACTTGAGAGTCGGATCTTTTTTCTTTTTTTTTTTAATTCGCAACATCAGCTTACTAGCCGTTTGGGCGGTCTATCCAGTGTACTAGCCGTTTGGGCGGTCTATCCAGTGTACTAGCCGTTTGGGCGGTCTATTCAGTGTTAGTACAGTAGGTAAAATTAACTTCTCCCAGGCCTCTCGCCCACCTCTATAAAAACATAATTTGCTTATGTGGTTCAAAGGAGTTCAGTTTTAGACTTGAACAGAAAAACAAATGTTAAAACATCTTGCTAAGTCTTAAAAGCTACTTGTACTGCAATAAACTCACTAGGTGTTAAAACAACCGTCAGTAAAGAAAACGGAGTCATAATAGCAGACATACATTGAGACGTATAACTGAAGTAATTTTCTTTAAGTTTCCACAACTATCTCCATATTTACATGTGGCGCTACCAGAGAGCGCAACTCTGCTGGGAATATTATTAAACGTGGCGCCTCAGAGTACATTCAGCCATACTTATTTTTATCTAATAAGCTATAATATTTACGATATATATAAACTGAAATTAACGAAGTTAATCTGGCGTGGGAGACAGTCATACCATTCAGTACTGGACATGATTTGAATGAAAGAAAAGGGTCAGAGATTCGTTGACGTATCCCGATACCAAAGGGCTCCATCCATAATTTGCGTGCTATCTTATCATTTAGCCTCTGGTTTTAAGTTTCTTCTCACGATTTCACTGTGTATCATCTGCGTATCTTTGGGGGAAATTGACGATAATTACTTTTACTTTATCCTCTTCGCCACTGATCGGCTTGTTAGCCGCTTGGGCGATCGGTCACGTCTCTTTTCCTTTATATTCTTCACCAAAAGGTCGGCTCGCTAGCCGGGCGATCGGTCACGTCTCTGTCACGCACTGTTGGCAAATACTGGGCATGCACCGGCTCCTGAATGTACCTGAACCCGCTCCAGTGTTGGTCAAGTCTTCTCTTGAAAGAGCTCACACTCGGTGCCGTCACAACACTCTCTGGTAGATTGTTCCAAGAGTTTACAACCCTCACTCCGAAAAAGTTTGCCCTCACGGTTTTCCGGATTTGCGGCTTCTTCAATCTTGAGCTGTGAAATTAAGCTTTTCATTTCAAGCTTAGGTAAGATCAAGTTTCATCAAGATTAAGTCATGTAAGAGGAAGCTTGGGGCCAAAATGATAGACAAAATACGGAAGAACCCTAGAAAAGGAAAATACCAACCTTAGGATTAAACATAATAATTATAGTTGTTAAAAGTACCGAGATAATTTTTAGTAATTCTTTATCTATATAACAAGATACTGAATATGATTCTTTCAAAAGTCTCACGAATTATTTAAATGGTAAGAGGGCTGAGGGGTTGAGCAAAGGGCTTGTAATAAAGGTGTAAACAATGAGTTCTAAATGCATCTCACAGCTGCTTGGTTTTGTAATGTTCCCGTGAAAATTTTATATTTGCAGTTCTGAATATTTTTACGATACTTAGTTGTGCCATGTGACTAAGAAGATAAATTTAACCACATAAAATAGTTAAAGAACTAACTGCAGAAATAGAACAAAGATCATTGATATCGAGAACCGATGCCGACGACTGCTTCGATGAATCTACATTACATATATCTATAAGATTGTGTAACTACTGCAAACAGAACTATTACCAACACGAATTTTACAATTTCATTTTATTTTCACCAGGTCTCATTTTCATTGCGTATATCAGGAATCTTCAAAATGATGCAGGAAACAATACATATTCCCGAAATAGATGAAAGAAAATAAACATTATTTGCGAGTTTATAATTTTTTGCATGTTTCAACTGCCACGGTGAATGAGAGCCGATCACTGCGACCAACGTATAAAGAATTAACAAATGTGCCTCATCAAAATTAGCTACGAATAACACTAATTACATAACTCCGCAAACTTTCCTGAAAGCTGCCGAAGGTAGATAAATATCCCCTCCGAGACGTGATCCTATTATGAAACTTGTATTCACATACCCGGTAGTTCACAAGTATTTTCCTGATGTAACTGAATGCGAGGTAATGCATCGAGTTACAGAAGTCTGTCTAATTTTGACTCCATTTTCGGTGTGAACACTTTAACAATGCTTCTGACCATTAGTAGTTTACCCTTAGTTCTAACTTTTACTTATGCGACCTCGGTTCTGATTTATTCCCGACTTACTCCCCCTGTGGTTGTTACTCCTTTGGTTTTGAGTATTACTCCCCTTACCCTTGGTTTTGAGCATTACTCCCCTTACCCTTGGTTTTGAGCATTACTCCCCTTACCTTTGGTTCTAGGATTACTACCCTTATCCTTGGTTCTGAGCATTACCCCCCTTTACCCTTGGTTCTGAGCATTACCCCCCTTTACCCTTGGTTCTGAGCATTACTCCTTTTACCCTTGGTGCTGAAAGCTACATAATCTAAACTGAGTTCTGACAAAGTATCAAATCCAGTTTTTACGGTAATCCCAATCGACCGTCGGCTCGGAACAAGTCTGTTCTGGTTAACCTCCTGTATAAATCTCATCGTTCTAGACAAATTCAACACTAAGAGCGAGCTACCCTTTACTTCATCATCCTCACCCATGTTTCTGTCCTTCAGAGGTTTGCTATTTAACAGTCAGTAAGAAGGAATAGCTCACACCTCCTTGACTGTCTACTTTAGTCTTCACTTTGCCCCATTACCTTTCTGCCATGTCTTCAACATCTCCTTTAAGCATAGGTCAGGTCACGTTTTTTTCTTATATTAATAATTACAAATTTGAGTTATGTTGTCATCATCGTATTTTCTAATTTATTAGTGCATAGACTTCTTGTGTGGTAGGAATAAGCTAAAGCAAATATTAACGTCTTTGGACATGTCGACTGCCTTGTATTGTGACGAGACAATTCTATGTTAATATGAAAACGAAGCCACGAGACACTACTTACGTTTTGGATGGAGTTTATTGAAGAGATTGAAGACTAGTTGATGAAGGAGAGTTGGTCTGTGATGCTGGTGGGGATCACAGCTTCCCCCGCGTCAAGAAAATACACTGATAGATGTGCCACTGATGACGCAGACAATCACACTTTCCAAGTTTCCGTGAGCAACGCGATTTTCCTGCTATTTATGAAGCTTCTTATTCAATAGAGCCCAATTTTCCCAGGTGTATTGTTTACGTTGGACATCCTGCCAGCACTGTAAAATGTGAAGGGAATGGACTAAGAAGGAGTTATATCTATAGTCGCACAGGCAGCGAGGGTGAATCTCAGGTTGGAGGCGTGGCTTGTGGGTTTCCTCCACAGCCATCCTAGAAGTATCGTACATTTCCTTAGTATTGTCGTACACTGGGCGCGGCAAGAATGTGTGTATTGTAACGAAAATCCATCTGTGTATAATTACAAAAATGAATGTATCTTGTATTAACTGATAGTTGTATATGGTAAAATTACCATACAATATCGAACAAAGTTTTCGTCGACTGCGTCGTGAGCTGCGCAGTTGGTTAAGCCGCGTGACTAGCGTGAAGAAGTCGTTGATACACATGTTAATAGGCAATACTAACAGGAAAAGTGTGACTAAGGAGTGACGACGCAACCAAGATTAAATTAAAGGGGCTTAAGCAAGTAACTAATGTTTGTTACTGCTTCCCGATGAAGAGACCTTTCTCAACGAATCTTTTAATAACTTACAACTCCAGTTCTCATTATACACCCAAATGGGGTAACTAGATAAATAAAGCCGTTGCGAAAAATTTTTTTTTGGTTTATTTCGTAAATGCGTGAAATAAAATTATCAAACTTTGTATCCTTTTTATATGCATGCCGCTCTCACTGTTTTACTTGCGTGCGATTCTCAGGTCATGCACATGCGACATTCATACATAGTATACCAGCCTGTTTCAAATATACAGCACAAGGCTGTAAGTATTTTTTCAATGTTAAACAGTACGATATTATGTGTCATTAATACTCAGGCCTTAGTGCTATACATACACAAACTGCGTCATACAGACAGTATACAAATCTCGGTGATACCAACACACAAGTCAGTGTCACACATACACAAGACTGAGTTATTCTTTTTAAATAACAAGAGCATTGCCCCTGACAGCAGCAACACGCGAAGTGACTCAGACAACACATTCGTATAATTAAGCAGAATGTGCCTTGTCACAATTAAGAGAAGAATCTTAATATGTGTGTGTGTGGTTTATTGAAAGAGCTTGTGAAAATATACAGTTACATATTTGTGGGTTACGAATTACAAATAATATACAAGTGACATAAGTGTATAGTAACTTAGATGTGATGGGGATCAGCTGTTCATTTCAACATAGTGACAGTGTAGGAGCAGTGTTTACTGGGAGTGAATACATTGATTTATTACATGTTATTGATAATTTTTACAATGTTGGGACTGGGCTGTTCTTATAGCGACAGTACGTATGGGCTGGATGCGGTTGTGGTGTCGAACAGCAATTCTCGGACAGGGGATCTCAGGTGGTAGTAGGGGCCGGTGTCGGGGATGGTGTAGAAGCTTCTTACCAAATTTGCAGATGAGGCCGTGGTGATGGTCAGTGAGAGTCGAAAGGGTCAGTGTGTTGAGCGCTTCTTGATATGTGGTGTAGGAAGGGGAGAGAATAATCTTGCATGCCCTCTTTTGCACTTTTTCTAGGTGTTTACGTTGTGTGGCATTTAGAGAGGAAGACCAGGTGGGGGAGGCATAGGTGAGCTTGGGAAGTATGAATGTTGTGTATACACTGAGGAGCTCGTGAGCGGGAACTCCGAGGGACTTGAGTCGGCGGAGGAGGTGGAGACGGAAACTGGAGGATTTGACAACTTCACTGACGTGTGGTTTCCAATTTAGTTTGTTGTCTAACGTTCGTGGAATCTTGGAGTGTGTTCGGACCTAGAATGGTGGGACAATGTTTGAAAACCAGTAGGTTGTGGTAATGGTAGAGACTGTTCAAGTAGGTTTTGTGAGGGGTGGCGAAAGATGAGCACAGAAACAGACTAAAGGTTTACAGATAACAGCCATTATTTATCAATAATGATAATTGTGGTCGGTTTTAGTGAAATCATGTACAGACGAGATGATAATTGAACACATGTTTCTCTATCAACAGCAGAACAGGGCCCTAGAGGATTATTTAACATTAGTCAGCTATACTTATGATCATTGCAATTACATCAGGATTTTAACCAGAGGAGCCCAATGTGTGTGTGTGTGTGTGTGTGTGTGTGTGTGTGTGTGTGTGTGTGAAACGCCTCCTACACTTGTAGGTCATATTATGCCGATGAATGAACGTGTACAGTGAGAAATCACCACCGTCACGAAATGTAAAGAGTAGATTAAAGAGGATGAAGGAGATGAGAATGTTTGTTTGAAATATTTCATGAGTGTGTTAACAGTAGGTTGTGTAAAGACAAGTAGAAGTCTGGGGTGGAAAAGAGGACGAAAGATGGTTTAAGATTAATTAACGGTACAATCATAAAGAGGAGGAAATTGAACGACCGGTTGAGGAGTGGGAGACTGGAAAGGGTAATTAAATCATGGGTTTCAAATGGATTTTGTAGAGGAAAACCGAGGAGGATTGGGATTTTGGAACTGACGTACTACATGTGAACGTGAACATGGTTTCTGTAGACAATGATTAGTAGAGAGAGAGATACGAATGAGTACGGGAGGAGGAACTAAGTGGATTTTGAAAAGATTGGACGCGTATTGATTCTAACTAAGAGAAATTGTGGTTTGTGATTAACGCATGAATACTGGTGAGATAAGCATGTGTGATAAACTTGTTGAGAGGAATTGGCCGCTGAAATTTTTTGTTAGCAAATGGTGAACTGTCTTTAGTTTCGGTGGTGTTCACAGCTTAAGTTGCCCAGTTTGCAGTGGTAATAAGTTCAAAGTTGAAAATGGTATTGATGTTTAGGTGGTTTGCAGAGAGAGGAAGAGGCATGGTGAACAGAGCAATAGAAGAGATTATTATGAAAATAATTGTCGTCTGCGTTTGAGTCGTTACAGTTTCTGGTTATCAACAAAGAACAGAACCCTATAGCATTTAACTTGTAGCGTTTCGTGTGATCCAATTAAACTCTTGTGTACGGGGTCCCTTCTGAGCTGAATAAAATCGTCTGGCATTAACCAAATTAAATATTAAAAGTGGCGTCCCTATAATGAAGGGGTTAAGAATGCACTCGAGTATACTATTGCGGCTGAGAAGATATCTCAGGTGATAGAAGAATAAGAAAGGTCAGATGAAGAAAGTTTGGTAAGACAACTCTGATGCAAAACTTTACCGATGGCTTTAGAGATATTCTGGGAAAAAGAAAAATCCCGAAAGTTATCAAAAGCAGAGTCACAGCTGTGTCAGAGGTGAAGGCTTGTTCCGCACGGTGACCTAAGAGTTGATTACGATTGTGTCCATACCTTTAGAGATAACTGAGATAAGGACTCTAGGTTTGTTAAGATGGAGAAAGTTCTCTCTCTTTAGGGATAAGTCACCGATTGATTATATTCCCGGAAGTTAGGGAAGGTCGCAACGCTTTGGGGAAGTTAGGAGTTAATTTAGGCACACGTTCCTTTATAACTAGTAGAAAAGTCCTCTTTTGAATATTATTGGGGTTTGAGTGGCTGAAACCAGACAATTTAACTTGAACATAGAATTTAGGGTACAACCGAGAGGTAGGGTAAATTAGCTTGGGTCAAGGATATGTTTGACAAACATATCACCAAGGATATGGGGGTGTAATTGCACTAATGAAATCGGTAGTAGAGCAGACTGTGGGTCCAGAAAGGTTAATAGATAAATAGAGGGACATTCAGTAAAATCGTCATATAAGTTCACATTGATTGAACACGTATACAGTGCAGAAACACAGTCATACAAAGTGAGTAAATTCAAGCAAGGATAGCCCCCCTCCCCCCAAAAAAAAAGCTGGACTGTGTTATGAGATTGTCTTTGAACGTAGATACAACTAGCTGGCTGTGCTGCTGGAACTTCTTGCATTGGTTATCATCTTTCCGCTGTTTGTCCATTTACCTACCTGGCTGTCCATTGTGTGTCCGTTTACCTCGTGGGGTGGTACGGGAAGAACTGAGCGCTTCCTACGCCTCGGTCAACTCCACATCAGGTTGGCTACACCATTTCACTATACTGTATTTATCTGCTTAATAGCCGTTCGGATGATATGTCTGATCTTTATTTTGCTATGATCTTTATTGTCCAGTATATTTATTCCGTAACGTCGTCAATCAAGTTTTCATTGGTTCGGAGATACTAAGGTAAACAGTAAGTTGATTTAACCAAGATTAACCTAAGGAAAACTATGGAAGCTATTTTTGGGGGGTCATTAAAACCACCCATAAAAAATAAACAGTATGTATTTCAGTTTGCATATTGTTCGACTTTTTTTTCTAATTCAGCTGTTCACCTTATTTAAAAAAAATAAGTTATTGGTTTGCCCTACTAGGTCTAAAGTAATTCTAAACTGTCTTTGGTATCGCTCATTTAAAAGGATTTAAAAATTTTGGCATTTCAGATTAATGTTTCAAATCTATTTACTTAAAAGGACCAGACACACATATGTAAAGAATCCTAAAACTATTTATTTCTTATTAATCTGATTAATATATATATTTTTTGTCGCTTTAACTGTTTATATGTTTATCCATTATTTGTTCATGAGTCAAATATATTTTTGTCTTATTTCCATTCGTTTGTGTTATTATTTATAGTGTATTTATTTATATGTCTGGCTAGCTTTTTTTACTTTATTAATTTATATTAGTTTACATTAATTTATATTAGTTTACGAGGTAGACCTACTGTATAACCCCCCCTCCCCGCACAACAAGTAGAGATACAGGGTTTCAAAGACTCTTACGATGAATATTTATTTTCACTGAAGATGTGAGAATACACCTAAGTCGATGAGTTAAGCCAAAACACAAAAAAGGGCGTTAAGAAATAGCTCATAAAATCAACATCAAAATTACACTGAGACGCTGAGGAAAATAATGTTAACGTAGAAACTCTTTCATAAGATTCTCAATGTAATTTTTTCCCAGGGTACTATTTGTATATATTAGCTTAAATCAATGTGTTAGGTACATTCATATGTCTCGAGTAACGAGAAATGTTTATCGTGCGTATCTTTGTGAATCCGAATTTAGGTCTTCGAGCATCAGCTAATTTCGTATTCTAGGACTCCTCTCACTCTCTCTCTTGCTCCGTGGCTGTATGGAGCAACCCATCTCCCAGGCCCCCATGTATTGTGTAATAGACCGCTCCCCTATACAC